TCTCTTTTAAAGGTCTGCTTCTTAACAGGTTAGGACTTCTAATACTTCGCTTTATATATGTATATAGCTCTATACATCTTATCCTCTCTCGGGGATCTCATGTAGGTTAAGAGAAATACAATTTACTTATCTGTCACTGGATTTTAGGTGACACGTTAATGGCAGCCACGTTCTATTAGCTAACAAAACGCCTTGGAAGGGGTGTTTGAAAGCTCAGGGTTATCCCACGGGGGCAGTCTGTGCCATGCATACGATCTTATCATCAGAGATAGTTTCACCATAGATTGAAACCGCAATATTTATTCAGAAAAATGATAGAGCATTATACTAGTGAGCGGCGATGAAGGTTTATAATTAAAGTGAGGTAAAAGTTTTGCTTTACGGTTTATAATATTTTAAGCCTCGGGACTGAATATATATATGTACCCCTGTGCAATTATTTACTTGTTTACTTATATACATGTATACACTATTATTTTCATGTTTCAATATTCGTATTTGTTTATGTGCTGTCCAATAGTAAATACAAACGAAAATATAATTTGACCATACTTTTTTTTTAACCCGGCGGCTTCGTGTTAAAAAAGGGACTAGTTTTTAACGTTATAGGATATAATTCCCGTAATGATAGAAGCCCCTCTTTAAACGTTTAAGCTTTAATTAATTAAAAGAAAAGTATTACTCTGGCGAATTCATTATTCATGATTGTCGAACACTTCAAAAACGATACTGACAGGTCAATTTACACAAGATCTATCAAAAAAAAGGCTTTGAATCGGCAAGAACTTTAAATTTAATTTAGTTAAAACAAATACTACTAAATGAACGATTGCACTCACAATTAAAAAAAACAATATACTGTACAGAATATTACATGTGTATATTTTTCTTGATAATTTAGTCATTGTGTTTTTTTATTTGATAGTAGCGATATTAAATAAGAGTTGTTTATTATTTAAATATCTTTAAAAATCAAAATTAATAAGCAACTTCAACGAAAAAGTTTTTATCTAATACATCATTGACTAGTAAATGTAAATGTAAACGTAAGATTATAACCTTAAATTTAGAATTATTAAAGAAGGGATTTATACGAATTTATAAATTTTGTTGTTATTCCGAACATATTTTTAAATAGTACAAAATTTATTAATTGGCTTAAAAACATAATATTGTACTATAATTGGATTAAAATTTTGGGGTATTAGAGGGGTTTATTTCGCGTATAATGAAAAATATTACTGTGATATTATATATACATACAACTGTTGCGAAAACTTTGGCCCATTTAAAAAGATTCCAACAAAATTAATAAATCTATATAAAGCCGTTTTTTAATAATTATTAATTATTATTTAATTTTATAAACTTTGGTTAAATCTTAAACATTTTTATTTGATAAGTTATGTGCATATTAAAAAATATAACTGTTGCTATTTGAAACTTATGTTATGAATGATTGCATTGGAATATTTTGCAATTTGCTGAGACACATTAAACGGGTTTCAAAATTTAATTTTCCTTAAGTTTTAGATGGAAAAATCTCTCGAAGATGGGAAATAAAAGATATAAAATAAAATAAATTACTCGTTCTGAAGCTAAGGTCTGCATAATGTTACGCCGGGGAGAGGGCGTTTATTGCTGAAGTTTTTGAAAGTTGCGGGACTTTTAATAAACGATAGTCCAATATCTATGAGTCTTCTCACACCCTCACGGTAACTTTGGCAACTTTGTATACGTTTTCTGTTTAATGCATTATAATGACCTCATTGTGAGTTTTTACATTGACGGCGATATGTTATAGTATGCTATTATTTTGTGTATAAAAGACAAGTACAATCGCGATAAAGCGTAACGTCAGAAAATGAAATAAGCAAAAAACCTTAAAGCTGAGTGTTTTTACTTTTTTTTATGTCATTTATTTTTTACACACTTATTTAGTTGCTTTTGAATTTTAATGTTTTCGATTATGAAGCTCACTGAAAAAAAAATCGACGATAGAAAGCTTCCAGTTTCAAATTGTTTTGACTGCATCAGTAGAGATAAAGTTAAAACAAGAGTTTAACGGATAGTTCATTATGGTTTGAGGAGACATATACCCGGAAAAACATCCAGATCACTTTAGAAACATATATATGTTATTATGTGTATATATATATACGTAATAGAATATAAATGGAAATGTACCCAAAACTTAAAGCGAACAAGTTAATGGGAAAGTCCCCGGAGACTAGTGGCAACCGTCTATGCCACGTTGTGACGTTTCCAACAGTTCGACTTTAAATAATTTGTCTTACAGTCTATTAACGAACCGAAAATAAACTTTAAAAATATATAGGTTTATCCTAACGTTTTTCATTTGTGCTTCTTCCTTTTGTAAAAAAATAGTTTTTCTTCCATATCAGATATTTTGATTTTAGAATTGTTTGCCCGATAACTGTAATATATTCTTTGTACCCCTAAACTGAATTCAGTTCAAAAAGAAAACTTGTAAACTATCGCAAAAGCTTATCGTTATCCATATTATTTTCCGGCGTAGGGAGATAAATCGTGACGTTTTTTGAAGGTTTCTCGGGCACAGGTTCAAAGGAAAATCCGACAGCTGATTGAAAAGCAATAATATTGTAGCTATAAACTTGAGTCCGGATTAATGGGACCCCTTAGTGTCATACAGAAAAACCAGCGATCACCGTTTTCAACGACAAATAAGACAACAATAATTGATGTGATTGATACAGTAATTAACAACGAGTTTAAATGTCTACGGTAATTAATATCAGACACACGTTTGACAACGAGATTATCGTATGTGTTATTATTATTTTACCTGACAAACCTTCTTAATTTGTTCCCTGCTCTGTGTTTTGCTTAACCGTGCGAAATCTTCGATATTTGTACACCTGACGATTCGGAAGGAAACATAACCACCGCCAACGGCAGTCCTCACCCTCTTCAGTCATGTATGTAAGCGCGCGGTCGATTTTAATGAGCGCAAACACAGCCCGTGTGGAAGATTAACGGGCGGCGCAGGGATTTGACAATAAACATTAAAAACGCAACAAACATATGCCGCTTAACCCGAACTTGCAGCAACTTTATCACATTCGTTGGATTTGTTTTAAAATGTTTTGGCGCATTTTGTGTTTGTATTTAAGCTTAATGTATTATAATTCCCATTTTGTTTTTGTGTATTAATAAAAGTTTTTAGTGTAAACATTGATGGGTAACAAAAATAATTCAATAGTGTTATATTCTTCGCGGTAAACCGTGTAAGTCGAACGACCCTCGTTGTTTGTCGCAAGGTGAATAATATCTCGTGAACATCATATTGTTATTTACGAAATGGAGGGTGCGGGGATGGGTCAGTCTAATAAAAACATCACGAACCAGTAGGTATCATACGCTGTTGAGTTATTGATGCTCTCTAAACACGCGATTTTAAGGAACGTAGTATAGACGTGCAAAATGAACACCGACTAATTGAGATATATTGTTTTTTATACCGTGTATCCCTAAAAAACGTCGTCTCTTGTATATTACTTTACTACTAAAAAACGATTTAGAATATATTTGAGTGCCCGTGTATCCTATCGCCTTAATTACACTAAATAACTATGATAATTAATACCTCGAGTTTTTCATATTTATACGAAAATTAATTAAATCAAATTCATAATTAAATACATTCGATGAAAGATCGATTCTCGTGTGAAATTTGTAAGCATCGTCAATGACAATTGTCATCGTTTCGACAAAGTAAACGTATATTTTGAATCCCAGTGGCACGGTGTATTAAATTCAAAGCTTCTCTGTGTTTATATAGCTTTATTATATTACATTATTATTAATATTGTATATGGTAATTCGATTGTAAGCGAGAAGACAAAGTATTGGAATAAAAAGCGGTATGATGATGAACAACCTGCTGAATATTACGACGGTGAAAAGTCAGAGGGCGGCGGATCGAATAATAATAAGAAGAGGATACTTATAAGCCTGTGGAGTAGAGTGAAGTAGGGGACTTAAGCTTCGGGTGGTATACCTAAGTACAGCGGTCCTGTTCGTTATATGAAAAGATATACGAGCTTAGAGAATGAGCTTTTATTTCGAAAATACAATGAATTAAAATTATTAAGTACAGTGATTTTTGGCTTATATTTTTAGATTATTGGCCGAGATAAAAATTAATGGAGAAAAGGATGCAAAAGTTGGCAATTAAAAATATATCTTTACATTTTCAGTAATTTGACAATATATATTAAGATTTTCTACACTAATGCCAAATTTCTCAAAATTTTCCGTCCGATTTACCTCTACCCACTTTTTTTCCGGTATCGAAACCGAATGAATTTTGCTAATTGCACTAGTCATTAGCAAATGCTCACTTACAGTATTATTAAAAACAGTGGATATACAGAAACAAACATAATTAATTATTGAAGCGACTACTCTCGCGCTGACACCGATAGTCGTCAACAGGAGAGGGATGAGAGTTATGTATTTAATATCCGTTTTTGTAATTAAAATTTTGTGTTTCCGCATAAGTATAAAAACACAGACGAATGACTTAAAAACGAAAAGTTCTATGGAATAATATTTTGTTTATATTCGCAGTAAAGATTATTAAAAAAACTGTAAAGCTTAACCCGTGTTAATTTGTAACTTTTGAATAAATAATAATGAAAGCAACAAGAATAAAAATGTAGTGGTGTTTTTAGTAATAAAAACAGAGCATTTCTTTTTTGAGTATTTGAAAAAATAAACAAGATAATTAAGGTCGGAGAAAAAAAAAATAAAATCAAAGAGAAAATATTATTGAAGTATTCATTAAGTCGCGGCAAACTTTTACATTTTTTAACAAAATTATTGTTACTTATTTACTTATCTGGCCGTCGCTGACTAACAGCTAATAAAAAGTAAATCAGCAAGTGTTGTATTCTATAGAATAATCGCTGTTATCTTATTAATAGTATACATAAAAAAAAATATTTTCTCCTTACCGGTAAATGTCATCAGACTCCAGATGACTGAAAAAGTCAATAGTGAGTTGAACATCACGATTCCCATTTGTTTAATTTTCGTTTAAAATGTAATCCTCTATAGTTTTTGCAGTAGTTCGATCAATTAAATATCACTGCGGATCTTCTGACTGGCGATTTGCCGGCATGCCAGACACCTGCGGTAATGATGTTTTAACATGTTAACACGTAAATCGAATACACTGTTTTTTTTTTGAACTTGTCAATGGAATTGTTATAATAAAAAAATCGTTACTCGAAAATTACTTTTATCGGTGATAATAGTTTGGAGATAACGACCGCAGATCGCGAACGAACGAATGTGGCGCGTGGTGCGACGTCTATGCGGCACGACGACCGGTCTTGTATTGACTGCGTACGGCTGTGATAGTTGACGGCGATGGCGGCGGCACATCAACGATCCCTTTCGCGCAGCGGAGGACACCGTCCCTCGTGTCGTCGGAGGTGAAGGCGAAATCGAGCGCCCCAAGCGGAACGAGTTTTCGCGCTCGTCTCCCCCACACACATTATTATTATCACCGTCGCTGTATGTACGCGTCTTATACGGACGTGCATAGGGGAAAACTATCCTTCACCCCCACTCCTCACCGCGCACTCATTTCAAGTGCGCATCTCTAGCGTCACAGTCTCCTCCACGCCGTCGGTTACAAGTCTGATATAGAATGTACTCCGACGCGGTTTTCCCGTGTCTTTTCCATTCATGTAGAGATCGGTAAAAAACAATAGGGATTGTTAACGTCGACGTTAAAAAAAGTGGACGCTTTTATACTGTAGTGTTCACGAAGTGGTGAAGGGAGAGGCTGGTAAAACATCACCAGTTTTAAGAGCACTTTTAATGCCAACAGCTTAATTGATGAAACGTTCTAAAATGCATCATGATAGCACATAAATTATTATGAAATCTTAATTATTTTTTATTGTCAAAATTTTGCACCCAAAATTGTTATATATCATGATAGATATAACGTAAATTTATTGATTATAAAATCTTTTTAACAAACAATTTAACTGAAATATCTCTGGATATTTACATGTGACTGCGTGAGTGTTAAAAAAATTATATAAAATAGGTTATTCACTTTTTTTATATTTGTAGTACAGTAAAAAAAATTTGATGATCGATAAAATCTAAGCACATTAGTAAGACATTCGTAAAATGTATGCTAAATTGTTAGTTAGGGATAATTGAACATCCGTAATAACTGTCAAGTATACTTTAAATGATAAAACTACCAAGCAAAAGGTACCTGAGATATATTTTGTTGAACAATCAATGTTTATCGAATAGTGCGATAGGATACACTATACGAGTTGTTTGTCAAAGAACTCTCAAGATACAAAATTAATTTAAACTCATAAGTAAAATATATAATTTATAATATAATATAACTGTTGTAATACATAAACCAACAATAGGTGATGATTATTGTATCAAACTGAATTATAGAGGTAAAAAACTAGGCAAGGACACCCCAATTTTATATTTATCACCCTTAATCAAATTTAAACAAGGGTTGAAATCAACTTATTCATTCAAATGTTTCAACAATAATTCAAAAATGTTTACAGAAGATTTAACTTGGAAGTGATAACAATAACATAAGTTAATGGAGTATTCAATTGGATGTCATTACATTCAAAAACCGGTTTTATAACATTAAAAAATTTGAGGTTTTAATTTTTACATTAATTATGTAGTTTCACGAAATGTCAGAGGTGTTATGTATTTTTGTTTAATCCAAACGAGAAAACTTATTTTTGGAAAAAAGTTTTCTAGTTTTAACTTGTTTTATAATTTTAATCTCAGTGTCTTTTAGTAAAGTAAAGTAAAAGGAAAATAAAATACAAGTACATAATACGTATAAGAAGGTAAAGCGATAAAAGTTAATATTTTAAAAGTAAATCGAATGGTTAGTAATTTTGGTTACCTTATAAAAGCTAAGATTTTGTTGACGTTATTTTCACTCTATAATGAGCTCCGAGAGATCTTATAAAAAGGATACAAAGTGTTGAATATATTTTAAAAACTAACCCTATTTACAACTAGAGTAATGGTGTCCTTCGATGACCTTTATAAACTAGTTTAACCTTTTGTTTTAGATGACCCTTACATCAAAGCCTTACTATTAAGACGTTTAAAAACGTGTGTTTTAACCACCATATGATTTTATTATTATATGAATACATTATTATTTGTAAAATGCATTTCATAGCTATGGGAATTTTTCACATTATTACAAATAATAGTTCAACACCACACAATGTGTGTATAAGTAGATTATTTATTACCAGGGCTGTTAATTATATGTATTTATAAACTCTGTTAAGATAATCTAAACACACAATTAGCCAGTACAATTTTTTATTAATTGAGTATTTAGTAATGAGCCTATTTCAATGTTAGTTTTGATAGTGATTAGAGAGGTAAACACGAAAAATTTCCTGTCTTACTATATAATCTTACAATTGAGTTGCACCACAAACTTGTCAATTTTCAATGTGGCTAAAACAAAATTTATAAATGCATATAATTTACAGCCCTGTTTATTATTGTTAATAATATTAATAATTTTCCTACTAATTATTTGATGAATCTGCATTCGTAAATTAAATTTGTTGTTTTTGTTTGATCAATTGTGGCACAATTATTATTTAATTACATTATACTATTAATTTTTCATAAAAAAAAACACACCCGCAGATCTATTCTTTTTAAATAAGTACTCTTTTATTATTAAGAGAATGTGTCTTAATTTTTGTTTTATAAATTATTAAATGTAATTGTACAACTAATTAAATTTTTTTAAATAATATACTAAACATAGTTTACTGAATACAAATAAAAGTAGCCATGAAATGTACGGCCAGAACACTTTATCTAATTTTTATACCTTTTTGTTTAGATGTTGTATTTTTTTAAGTATATGGTAGTTAGTTTAACAATTAATTTCAGTTTTTAAAGTTTTATAGATCGTTGTTTAATATTTTGAACAACCAAAATAATTATAAATTTAACTTACATCAAAATTATTTCATCAAAACACTACTCATGGTGACCTGGAATATGAATTACTTGAAATATATTTTTTATATTTTAAATTTGCACGTTTATAATTGACGCGTGTCAACTTTATAACAAAGAATGTACCAGACATGTTCGTACTTTGTTTAGTTTAAAGGATCTCTCCAAAAATTAATCACGTATAACGTCAACAAAATATCTACGTACTGTGTGCCATCGTGTACAAACAGTGTTAAGGACTTGTTTGTGTGAAAAAAATGCCGAGAAAAAAAGAAACGGGTATTCGGCTCAACGGTCCTGATGTGGCAGCTGCGGATTCGACTCGGCCCTTGTATGCTCTTAGCTGTGGGACAGAAGATTTTTTTGTTGTGTCGCGGTAACAATTGTAACACGGCATCGCGTAGACGATGGAAAAGGGATGTGCTGTGGAGGAGAGGTTAATTTTTTTTTTGTATCTATTCACAAAAACGCGGACGCGTGTAAGTGATCGTCCGAGTGTGAATAAATTTGGATNACGCGTGTAAGTGATCGTCCGAGTGTGAATAAATTTGGATTTTCAGGCCGCGATCAATGGTAATAGCGAAGCATTCTATGAACAAGATTGAAAAAGAAGGTTGAAAAAATAGCCATCACACGAGTACAAAAACACCATTTCTGCAGTATTCTATAAATGTTATACCGTACTGCCAGTATATAGTAAGTTTTCACCATTTTGGGGGTGACTGTCTGTACACAATAGCCGCTTATGTATAATCAAAAGATTAGCAACCAAAAACTGTGTTTGCTCCGCGNATCAAAAGATTAGCAACCAAAAACCGTGTTTGCTCCGCGTTGATATCTTGTAAGTACACAAATAGAGTAAATGTACGCGATTGTTGAGGTACTGCCACGGTTCCCACCATAAAAAATGCTTATAAACCTAAACGTGTCTGGAACTAACTAGATTTGCGATGGACAAGCGGATTGAAAAAGAAAGAGAAAACATTTTCGAACATATTGAAGTTATACACTTCAAATATTATTCATTTCTTCTCGAGTAGCAATGTGCGTTTGAATAGGATGAGTACAATAAAATTAACATTATATTTTGTAAACAAAATAAGTCAATATTTTTTAACACACTCGATTTTAACGTTGTCGATATACGACATGTGTGGACATACTACGTATGTTGAAATGTTAAAAAAGGGACGATGAATTAAATCGATATTTGAGATATTTAATTTAATAACTTAATTAAACGAAATCACTTGTATGAAAAAAAAATTATACAATTTAGTCTACGATTTGGCCTCTATAAAAAAGAGTTTTTAGTAGTTACTGAAGATATTTGACAACATTATAAATTAAACTATTAAATTACAAAAATCCTTTAATAAAATTCGTATAATTATTTATATAACATGATTAAAAATGTAGTGTAGTATATTATTTATGTTTTCTATTTATGTATAAATTTATATTGACATGATATCAATCTTCGATGCCAAACAGATAAAAATGATCTGTACGTCGAAGTTCATACGCGTTATTATGACACTTGAAAGAACTTGTGAAATATTAAGTGCTTTTTAAAAGTATTGCAGACTTATGGAGCTTAAGTGGTAAACCAGGTACCGAATACAGAGAATACGGCATTTAAAAAAGTGTTTCTGCATATTTCAATGAGATTTCGTTGAAAAATATAGTTTATAGAAAGTTTAATTTAAGAATAATAAAATACTAGAATAAAAACTGATTTAGAATATTATCTGTGACTTTTCTTCAATCTGATATGTCACTAAAATGAGTTTTTGAAAATTTTTTAATGGTATTTATATAATCATGTTTTACATTAAGTACAAGAAAATGAAGTCGGTTTTAATGGAAAGGTATCTTTTTATTATCATAGAAAATGTAGCTTCACATAAGATACCAATTTAATTTCAAATTTGTTTTTACCAGATCTGGATAATACCTAATTGGGGCCCTAAGGCCAGATTTTTTAATGGGCTCCAAGAAAAGTTTTTTATAAAAATGATATTTTTATAAAACAATGTTTTTTTATTACAACATTAATGAAAACAACAGCTGATAAAAAAATCTGTAATATATAACTTCTAATTTTTAAAGTTATTTTACCAATTAGACGAAATACAAGATTAAGATTATTTCTTTGTAGGCCTCAATTTATCGTGGGACCAGGGTCATAATCCTCTTTGGGTCCCCTTAATCCGTGCCTAGTTGTTACTCTTTTTAAAATCACTAAAATTGACTTATGAAATTTAAAAAATCGAAATAGGCGTGTGACAGAAATTACCATAATGCCTATAAGAAATTATCACAATACTTAAACAATGCCCTTACATTAGTGTAACCTAGAATGACTGTGATGGAGGTGACCTATTCTTCATCGGTGTAAATTATGTTAAAGATTTGTCAGGAGTTAATGAAATATTTTTATATTTTACCGCACTGAAGTATATTTTTACATCGTATCAAGCAACATTTTCAACATTTTTGGAGGGCTACACTACCAAGTCCTCATATATTTCCACCAATACTCAATAACACAAAAGTTATATGTAACGCTATACAAATACTTTTTAATAAATAGAAAAATAAATTTGACTCTCTCCTTTAAATTTTATTTAAAATTACGCTTGTGTATACAAAAACGTATAATTTTGATAAATTAACATACTTTCAAAATTGTATAAACTTGAAATATACACACAAATTTTAATATTTTAAAATTCTAGATACTAATTTTTGTAAAAATAAAATTTTTAAATTTGTTTTAATTGTAATATATACATTGAAATGTTTTACTTTATGTGTATAATTAATAATATTTAAGTTTGTTGAATTGATGTAGGAATACTTTAAATAATATTTTTATCATATTATCACTAGAAAACCAACGAATTGTAGTAAAATGCATACATAAATTTTATTGTGAGCTTTAAAATTGTCCAAAGTGCCAAGACTATTTAATTTTTTGCTAAGCTAAATAAAATAGGAATACAACTGAAATAATTTATAATTTATAAAATTATATTTAACAAAAGTAATCATTTGATAAATAATTATTTATCAAATGATAATAATAATATAATTATAATGTTATACTTATAGTAAATATTTGATAAGTATATTTAGTGTAATTGGAACTTAACTGTATGGGGGTATTGAATTCATTTATAATTTTTAATGTCAGTAAAGATTATTTCAAAAAATATATTTTTAAATAATTACTATAAAAAAATTATATAATTATAACAAGAATGGAATCATATAATCATATATTTAACTAGTTCGATAATATTTGTCCATAATTTCCTTATCTTTTGTATCTGGGATAATTTTCACGTAAAATATATTTGAAAACATTCTTTGTAAATTATCGGGAAGTAACCTAAAACATTAAAAAAATTAACAACTTGATTGTGCAGTTACAGCTAATTATATTGTTTTTCTTACCGAATTATACTCATAGCCATATATTGCTTTCCCGGAACAGAAAATATTCTACGATTTTCGAGGATACCTCTTACAATTAATTTACATGCTACTGTTGTTGGTAATTCTGGTTGTCTAAATAATTTATCGTGTTAATAAAAAAAACTGGAACAGCATACAAGTGTTTATGATCTATTACAAACCTGAGATTTAAACATTTTGTAACTTCTTTGTTAGTCTGTACAAAATAAGGAAGTACTGTTGTGGTGACAATTGACGAATTTATTAATCTTAGTTCATTATCCATACACTCCATACTCCCTAATCACGCAGTTAACATTATTATCAAAAAATATTTCTAACAGGAATAATAAAATAATAGTTAAACTATATGTTCTAAAATTAAATACTCTATACCGTTGACAGCCCACTTGGAAGCTGTGTATGATGAAATCCCAGCTACTCCAGTCATAGAAGACATAGATGATATTGCTACTATATGACCTTTGTTTCTCGTTAACATTGAGGGTAATATTTCTCTATTCATCTAAAATAATGTATATTATTGAATTTAATTGCAACTAAAAATTTATTAATAAAAAATTCCGATAAAATTATTTTGAAATAATAATTTTGTTAGCATGATCGTACAAAATTAAAAAAATGTCGCGTTCATTTGCCTACACACCATTCCTCTATTTCTTCTAGATCATTGGACAACGTCGACTTTTTTAAGACAGGCGACGTGACAGCCGTCGCGGCTAGTTGACCTTGTGTAAATAGTTCAGAAATCGGAAATAGTTGGTTCGCGGTTCAAATCTGGCCCTCATAGGGTAAAATTGGCCCACCAATAATGTTTAACACCAAAGATTTTAAACAGTTTTATTTTCATTATTGTCTCTACAGAGTGTCCCACCGTGATTCACTAATTCGACTGTATAAACTAATATTAAAATTAGTAAATCACGGTGTGACACCCAATATATATCTAGAGAAACTTGATGATTGTTCAAGTGTAATTGATACTTAATTCACTTATCGGATATCAGAGAGTACCGAAATTCAATAAGCTGGCCCAGAACAAACGGTGTCTTTTTATTTTATTAAAGTACATCTTTTTATACATTGAGATTAAATAATATTAAATTTATATGATTATTATTTTTAATTTTCAGAAATTTATTGACTACACTGATCTTTGAAAAAATATTTTTAACCATCTGGCCTACCATACAAACTAATGCCTACATTTGATATTGTTGATAGTAAAAAGTGTTGTCGGTGTATCGTATAAGCACATACAAGTTAAACATTATTTTTTTTTAATTGAATAAGAAAGTTAATAAAATATTGTATTTACTTAAATATAAATATTGTTAAATTTAATTGTTTACTAATCACTTATAGCATCATTATTAATTTAATATAATAAAAACAAGATACATTACAATATATTTAAATTATTAAATGCTCTTCTGCTTTTGTCAATTTTATCAAATGAGTAACTAAATTAATATTTTCGTAGTCATCATTCATTTATGAATACACACGAGTTAAAAATTAAAACAGTTATTTTAATTATTATTTAATATTAAATTATACATACCCAAAAATGGCTTAAAAGATTAACTTTCATAATATTTTCTATAAATTCATCTTTTTCTGGATTTATATAAGAATGGCCCCAAACAATACCAGCGTTGTTTATTAATATGTCTACGGGACCTAGGTCTTTTTTAACATGTTCGTGTAATTGTTTGATCTGTTCTTTATTAGAAACATCCACCGTGTAACTTTTAGCGATCCCACCATCTTCGTTTATTATTTGTGCTGTCTCGTCGTTTCCTAGTTTGTTTACATCGACACAAACTATTTTTGCGCCCAATTTATGAAAATCCAAAGCTAGTTGACGCCCAAGGCCTCTTGCTGCACCTGTTATCTAAAAGTAAAAAAAGTTTATATATAATACGCGATGTTTTTTTATAGTAATAATTTCTTTTTAAATATGCTTTCTTTGCAGTTGGTTGTGGATTTATCTATAAAAAAAAAACCTATTTTTTTTTCATAATTGCCTCGTTCTGTAACTATTTGAAATGTTTATAAATTTTAAATGGGGGAAAATTTTGTGTTGTCACATCATGTGTAATTTAATTTCATTAAAATTACTAATAAAATAATCCAAGTAAATAATTAAAAACCAAGGTAAAATATGTTTTTAGTGTCACTAAAACAAATGGATTGATTATATATAACTTAAAATTAAGTTAATTAATAATAGTTATAATGGAATTATAGTATTCTAAAAAGTCTTTATTACAATTAGGAGGAGGTTTACTTATAACAAGAGTACAGTAATATTTATTTGTTTACGTAAATAACCATTACTGATAACTATTGGCAACTTATAATTGTAAAAAGCAAGTAAATTGGAAGAAAATCGTTTATGTATTTCAATTTCAATATCACCTCCTCTGACATGATAGTTATTACTAGAATTGCTAGTCTAGAAATGTTATAATCGATTAATTTGAGTTCAGAATCATTATATCATCGGTTAACCTTTTTATGGGTGAGAATAAAGCAATTATAATGAAGTAAACTGAGCATATTTAAAGTAATAAATGAAAGCTTAGACTTTAAACCACGTATGTTTTATAAAAACCTGACATGTGTCTAAATTATCAAAACAAGTATTATATCTATTATAAATAATATTAATTCTGTTATTGTTAACATCGTCATCAGAACTATTGACATTAGCATCACTATTATAATTGCTATTATTGAAACTTACATGAGTTAGATAAATAGTTGGTACTTGAGCTAAAATTTAGTTTTTTTAGATTAAGTTTGGAGTTTCACCAGAATAGTGAATAAACTATTTTCTGTTCCCGTTTTTATTCCTGCGGTCACAGTTTAAAAACCGTTTTTTTAAGTATTATTATTAGTGTTAATATTTTGGTCTTGTGTCGTTTCTTAAAAAAGTGGTTACAATAAAACCTATCAAAAAAATAGACACTAAATTTTTAAGTTGATGAGTTCAGTTCAAAGTAAAACAATAATAAACAATATGATTTACTTACTAGAATTACTTGTCCTTTTACATCTTTTCGTTTTGCCGGTAAAAGATTTTTAATGCCAGCAAAAATAATTGATGGAACTATTAAAATAGAAAACAATAATAGTTCAAAAATAAGACTTATTGGTTGTGACGTTCTTAGGTATTTTGACATAATGTTTTTATAAGTTTATAATTAATTGAATTTAAAACACGGAGTAATCTATGTATGTTTTACTAAAGCACAACACTATCGAGACGGAATCGTATTCTGTCTGTTTGCTATATAATAACGTTTATAATGTAAGTTATTATTACCTTGAAACTAGAGTTCATGTGAATGTTTTGAAAAAATGAAAACTACTTGTTACTTTGTTTTCCTTGATAATATATTTTGCTAATTCAAAAATATCTACTTAAACCTTAAATGAATAGTCAAACCCGTTTGAAGAACTTGAATTATAACTTAATTGATGCTTGAATAACTAGATACCAAGATACACACATGCAGTTAAAAAATATTTGAATAGCGTCGGTATTCAAAGATCAAAACATAAGTGTCAAAAAGAGTCGAATAATTATTACTATTTTGAAATGGTTCCATAATATTTATAGTGATTTTGTGCCAAAAAAAAATAAGTGTTTCAATCTCAATTAATCAATGAAAAGATAATAAATTACTTAATAGGTTCTATTTTATGTCCCGATAAGAGGCAAGTATAGAACCTAAAATAACCGGTTCTATTTATCAAAATTTTTTTAATTTTAAGAGTTGGAAACGGAATTTTATTTTTATTTGTGGATAAACATAAATTCAAGACAAAACCGCTTAAAATATTTTAAATGTGGGTTACTTTATTTTAGCTTGGATGCGAAGCTGAGAAGGTATTATTTTACTATGGCGTGTATTTACAATGATAGGTATTTACCAATCATTTGGTATATTTTTTTAAAAATACGACCCTTTACCTGACCACACGGGGGATTTAAAAATGGCAACTTTTCCATAAAACATTAACTTTTGATTAACTTAAATACAATAACTTCATTAAATATTAAGCACCCCATCACTGTAGTTTCCCCTCGTGAGAAAAATTTCTTATTAATATTAAAATTATTTTACTATGTAGTTTTTTTTGTGACTATCATTTATTTTCTCAGCTCTTTACCTTTCAACGATACGTCAAATGATTACAATTCGTATGTAGTTGAAGATATTTCAAACATTGAAAAAATATTTTAATTTATCATTTATTATTATTATTATCGTATGGTAATTTATCAATTACCATTGATTACTTATCCCATGTTGTCCAACACAATTAAAATTATTAATTTCTAATATTTTAAAAGTATTTACTGTCGTATTAGGTAGTATTTGCTGGACTTTGTATCGTGACGTACGGCACGCGGTGTTGGCCAGTCAAATACACATAGTAGGGCGACAGCTGATGAAGTTGGCACAAGTCGCGGGCCATTGTGTATCACGAAGCGTCGCGGGATAGTGTCAAAAAGTTAATTAATGTTATATTAAGAAATACAAATAAATATATAATAACACAGAAATATGATTAAACAAATATTAAGACTTCTACAACTAGCTAAAACTATTATTAACCCCATTGTCATTGTCAAATAAATGTGTTGATTCATATTATTTAAATTTTCTAAAATTTAAATTTTTGTTGAAAACAAAAATAATTTATGTACATACATTAATATCATAAAAATAATTTTCCTAATCCATTCAATTAAAGGATTCAGTGCAACAATTTGGTAAATTCAATTTTAGAAATTATTTAAGAGAAGCAATTAACTAAAAATGTTTTAATAAAAATAGTAAAATTTTTTTCTATATTAAATATCTTAGCAAATATTTAGAATTTAAAAACTATTTTTATACCAAAGTACGAAAAAAAAATTATTAAAATCTTATAAAAAATTATTTTTTTAAAAAAATTGGGCTTGTCAGTTGCATATTTAGGTTAAAAAAGGGTTTTCAAAAATGAAACTGTACATGGATCCTTTTGGTAACAAATTTTGATACTTATCTTAAATCCCTTATTTCAACTATTTCTTTATTGACTTTAAAATGTTTAATAAATATTTCATAAATTACGATTTATAATTTAATTTTTAAATTTTAATTTTGTACTTAAATAAATGATAAATCAGGTTAAGGGGGTTCATTAAAAATGAAAGACGAATATCTAGTATGATAAATCTTACTAGAAACACACAGCTTATCAAGGAACACATAATTTAGTTGGCAATAAAAAATAGGGGGAAATCATTCAATAACGGAAAACTGATAGTAATCTTTAGTTATGTATACTTTATGCTTCGACTTTCTGAAATAGGGTGATAGAAAATAAAAATAGGTCTCTTTGCATATATATATATATAATTTAAGGGATTGTTTATTCTGCAGCTGCAGCTGTGAAACTTTAGAAAATGATTTTCTTTACATTTTGGGACCCTAAAGGGTTCTCTCTTTTTTTGTTAGATCAGCCAGATCAGATTACATTTAAATTTATAGACCGCCCGCAGTTGGTTAAAGGTGTTAATAAAGAAAGTCCATTGTGCCTTAGTGGTAAAGCAAAAAAGGTGACACTGCTGATTTCATAAACTTTTTTATATTTTCAAAGGATTTCTTAATGTCAAAAAACGAAAACAAACGTCATCCCGATAAGAATAATAAAATAAAAGGATTTAAAAAAATTAACTGATTCCTATAAGATGAATAAACACGTTATAATTTAAAAAAATGTCTTATTTAATGATATCTAACAGGAAATTATACGTATTATAATTGTTTTAATTTTATTTACAAATATAACTTAATGTTATAATAGTTTTACAATTTTTTTGAAAAATTATTTTATTTTTAACGATTGAATTTTGTGTGATAGGAATCAATTATAATTACAATATAAATCAAGTAATTTTTGTGTTTATTATAGATGAACTGATTATTTTTAATGCACTGTCAAAATACTCCATACTACCTTGGTTGAAAATATGTATCTAACTGTATGTTAAATTTTTTTTTTTTTGAAAAAAGAGCTTTAATTAGGAATCTGTAACACGAAAGTAACGATAGTGATTTTCGAAAATCAATGTTTTCAATTTCGTTATTTACATTTCCAAATATAAAATAAGCTATGCAAACTCATACTTTTAGATATGAAAACTATGCCCGTAGAACGAAAAAAAGCTTTAACTCGATATAAAACTAACAGATTTCAACAAAATTTTTAGGGTAAGTTTGGTGAAAATTGCAGATTTTAGTCAACATTAGATGTCAACAGTATGCGTTTTTCTAAAAAAAAACTGATATTTTTAAATACTTGCAAAGTCCTAAAAAATTTTTCTATACTTCACGAATAATTTTCTTAGAGTAATGCGGCTATTTCACAAAACAAAAATAAATGAAATTCTGAGTTTCTTAAGTAATTTTTCCAGTGTTGCCAAAATTGTCCTTGTTTTATTACATAATATAGTAAATATATATATATTTTTTAATTAATTAAATTTATTAATCAAAAAAAAAATCATAAATATTTAGTGCATACTTTATTACACTAATTACTAAGTAATACCAAGGAAAACAGGAATTTTTGTGAGCGAATAATATGGGAAGTGCGACATTTAATTTTCTTTAAACTTCAACCCCCCCCCCCAATTTCATTTCTGTGTACGTCACTGGGTAATACAAGTGTTTTTTTTAAATAATAGAGTATTTAAATTTAGTATACTCAACATGGATATAAAAACATGTACTCTTAAAATCTATTTTTTGTTCAGCTACACTGAACAAATATTTTAAGCCATTTATGAAATGAAAAAATACAAAAATTGAATCGTTAAATTATGCGAAAATTAAAAAAAAATAATTTTACACTAAAGTTTGTTCTAATTTAATTTATTTAAAAATCGTTTCACAGAGTAACAAATATATTCCATTTATAGTAAAAATCAAGTTAAAATAATTCAAACAATAAAATATTAAAAAATAATAATAAAGAATAAAACATTTATAAAATAAATTAACAAGTAGAATTTTATTTAACAGCTTGTGTTTGATGAATTATCCTCATATTTGATTGGTTATCTTGATTTTCATGTGTTGGCAATAAGACCCTCACATAGAATATATTTTTTAAAGAATCCGATATATTGACAGGCAATATTCTAAAAAAAAAGATTTTAAATTAAATTTCAAATGACAAAGAGTATATACATCAGAAAACATCCGGCAAATCATTAAATTCTAAAAAGTCTGATCTAAGACCAGCACTCATTAAAATAAATAAATAATATTGCATTAGTGATTGCAAATAGTAGGTCCAGAAACTACCAAGATCACATAAATATTTTTGATTCGGCGAAACATTTTTTTTAATAAGCTTCTATTAAAATTAATTATTTGATAATTAATAGTTAATAGTATCGTAAATAACAATTATTGGTGTTTAAGTTCTGTGGTAACCAATATTAATAAATGCAATAATTTTTTTTTTTTNCAATAGTTTAAAAAATATATCATCATAATTACTTAAAATTAATAAATGCAATAATTTTTTTTTTTTAACCGTTAGATTGGTTAATAATAGGAAATTCTGAAAACATAATTTATAAATCCTGGGAAAATATTAAGCATAGTATCTGCTTGTATTTTATATTGGGAGCCATAGTATTTGCGACCATTTAAGCTGGCGTGTGATAACACATTCGACAATTAACAATGGCAAGTAAAGCTTAACTTAAGAACTTGACGGCTCTAAAGTTTCTACTGCAACATACTATGTCTCCGTACTTAAAATAATAGTTCCATAATTAAAATTATTATTTTAGTAATACATTTAAGTAATACCATATAAAAATATTGTAACTTACTTTCGGAAAGTGTTGGTATAGTACGCAGTTGAAGGAACAGAAAATTCAACCTCATTTGTTAAAATTCCCTTAACAGTTGCTTTTGCTACTTTTGTGACCGATAATACTGGTAATCTATAAATTTAAAAATAAAAAAAGTTATAATATATTTATTTTGGTTATTTACAATGTAAATTATTGATTAAGTATTAAATGAAATATTTAAAAACTAGATGCTTTACCTTGTATTGATGTATTTCATGTAATCAGCACTAGTATTCATCAAATCAGGTTCAACTAATGTAGTTTGAACATTGTTGTTAGGATTATTTCGGAGTTCTTCTCTAAGACTATCCATCATACCTATAAATTAATATCAAATATATAAACTTTTATTATTTTTATTTCTAGAGAACCAAATAGATATACAAATATATATTTCAACAAATGTAAAAAATGAAAAAACTATAATTTTTCTAAATTTACAATAATTGTTTGAATTAAAAAGTTCTACTTGGATAATTATCTCGTTATTTAATCAATAAAATAAATAAAATAATAAAAAAATACCGAAAATATAAATTACATACTACTAAATATTTAGCTTAATGTAAAATACTAATCATTACCATTAACTCCAGATTTAGTAGCTGAGTACGCTGAAAGTTTAGCCAATCCACAGAGTGATGCAGTAGACGATATGGCAACAATGTGTCCGCTGTTCCTCTTAATCATGCTTGGTAGGAAAGTACGTATCATCTTTAAAAATAGATAATTAATGTTTTAATTATATTTTAAGTTACTTTTAAATAATAATTATTTCATATTAAAATATTACAAATATCAATTAACACTCGTAATTAAGGATTCAATCAATTTTTTTTTAATTTAAATTATTTCCTTTGTTTTTTAAACGATTATTTCTATAAATCTTTAAAAGGTTAATAAAATCTAAATCATAAATGAAAACCGGTTAAATTAACTTAGTAATTGACATGATCCTGTGTATTGTAATACATGGAATACCCTTCCGCGTTATCTCATGAAAAACGTTATTATATCTATGTGACAACCGGTTGTTTTGATTGAGTATCACTGTGTATAATCGTTGATATTAAGTCCATTTAATTGCGAATGGACGACTATCTATCGCTATACGACAAGTAATCTCCTTCCGACGCCGAGAGTGACACGCTAAGGTCCTCTGGTTTTTACTATTGTGCAATTTATAGATCTACGATAATACTATTTTTCACGTAAGACTACAATTAGATCATTATCAATAATCGAATTTTTGCATAAACTATTAAATTTACACTGTCAATTATGAACTGTCTACTTTAATAAAATCTAAATCATAAATGAAAACCGGTTTAATTGACTTAGTAATTATTCATATAAAACTTGCACTTGAATTTGTGTAGGCTACATCATTGGATTAATACGCCCTATACTATTTTACACCACCACAAGTCCGTCCCAAAATTATAATTGAAATTTGTTTTTTTTTTCATTATTATATAATGTTTAAAATCAAAGTATAAATATGAAGTATTTTTAAAACAGTAAAAAAAAATCGTGACAGAATATTTACATATTTTTTATTACATATTAATGCTGTATATTATTCACACAAAAACTAAGAAAATGTTGTTCTATTAATTCATAATAGTACTGACCCAAAAGTGACCAAGCAGGTTAATGTTGATGATATTTTCAATTGTATCGTCCTTAGCGCCTAGGAACGTGTGCCCGATAATAACAGCAGCATTGTTAATCAAAATGTCAACTGGTCCCAAGTCGAGTTCAACTTTTACGGCCAAATTTGTAACTTCGTGTCGTATTCCTACATTTACCGTGTAAGTCTTCACTACTGCTCCGTGAACTTCTTTGTTGATAATATGAGCTGTCTCTTCGTTGCTTGCACTATCGATATCAACACATGCTACTTTGGCACCCAATTTAGCAAACTCAAGTGCTAACTCGCGGCCAAGACCTCTACCAGTTCCTGTAATCTAAAAAAGAAAAGCTATATTTAATCTAAAAGAATAGATTTGGGAAATTTGAAAAAAACTTACCAACACAACATTATTTTTAACTGATTTCTTTGATTTAGGTAAAAACACTCTTAACATTTTAAAGTACAATGTAATCCAATACATATAGTAAATAAGAACAACTTCGAATATAAGAGATATTGGATTTTTGATACTCCAACTTATTTTTGATGGAGGAGCTAAAGGTTGTGGTTCATTTTTGTCCTGTGATTGAGCCATATTTTGGGAAGAGTTCTATTTATACAAAAATAAAATTAATTAAAACAAATCTTTATTCTACATCACTGATTTATTTAAATTATGACACGATTCAAATGTGAATAAATATTTAATATTTACAAAAATATTGATATAATTATTTTTAAGTATTAAAATGTCGACCCGTAAAGATGTTTATTGTATTTAATATGAAAAAATTGTTAACTGAATTATTATTCAGTTAAAATGCGACAACGTTATAAATCAGATATTTACAAGATCAAAACTGACTACAAGTACAATGGTAATTTAAAAATATAAGAAACTTTACAATTTAATTCAATTTTAGGAGAATGTTCAAGACAAATGTCTTGTCGTGTGTTTTTTTTCCAAATTACTTTTTAATGTAATTACGTCAATTTTTTATTTTCAACAATATTATACGTCAAATTCTATACAAAAATAAGTCACAACCAAAATTTGAAACTCAACATATTCTCAGTGGTAAATTCTACGTGTGTATTCAAGTTGATATTTATTTGTTTTTTGAGAAATCTATTTTTTTAAATCATAGGAATATAACTATAGAAACAAAACACAAGCGCTGTATTAGAGAAAATTATATTGGCGGTTGTAGCGTTGCCTGCTGTATGTAGCGGTGTTTTTTAATTAAACCTGAAAACGGCCACAGCTACCGCTGCGCGTTAAACTAGAAAACTGCTGACTTCTTGGGCGGCACCGAACGTTGCTGAAGTGCTAACGACTCTGTACGGGTCCGAAAAGCACGTGTCCACAAGCACAATAGGACGCAGATTGAAAAGATGTTCACGTCTATTTATATATATATAAATAAAGACCTATACAGATACAATAAGGATGAAAAACTACGGGCAACTAGAATCGAGGAGGATAAATTCGAAAGAGGTTGCAATGTATATTAGGGAGAAAATGGAATAAAAGCGAAAAGAAAGAATTACGGCTTTTCATCTGCTCCCACCCACAGTTTCCAGTGCACTCATTTCTCTACATTAATACCCCTGCTGCAGTCGGGTGGTGTCTTATTGGAAAATCTAGAGTGTAAAAGTTACGATCAATTATAACGATTTGCGGATAACTAGTAGATAGTAGAAAACTATATCTTGTTAGGAATCGAATTAAGGCTACAATAAATGTAGATAACCAATGTGAATAACAATAAAAACTTGAACGCATTTAAAAAGTGAACAATGGGCATGTATTTTTTAGAATTAATAAAAGTGAAAAAAGATTATCGGTTAGGTGCACCTTTCAGGGACGAATAGTTATTCTTATTTCATGATCATAAACGATATTCATTTTTTTACCATGAATGACGTTATATGAACATTAATAATAATAATATTATTGTGAAGACACTATAGTTACAAGATATTATTTTGTCAAATAATGTACTTGTTTGTATAGATTATTCAGTTTATTATTACTTAGAGCTATTTTACAATTACATTTTTAACAATGCTGTTTCCTTTCATTCATATTTTGGCACCCTAAAAATGTTTGTATGTCCAGAAAATTTGATTTACGACGCAAAATATTTCTGTTTAAAAAACGTTTTCTTTATTTTCAAGATTTATTTTGGCTTTTGTCAGTGTTATTTATACTATTTATTTATTCGCTACATACACTTGAAACTTAATTTCACTTTTTTTTTATTAGTAATACATTTATTACGTTACTTAACAAAAATACTAACTTCTTTAAAAAAATTAAAAATTTTATACACAATGAATTCCTATCTGAGCTGAGTAATTATTTTAAAAAATCGGCTACGATTAGAAATGAAAGTGCGGGAGTTTTAATAAAACTATGAAAAAACTTGCCAGTTAGTTTTAGATAAATTTTTTCAAATTATCTGACAAATAAAAGAATTTATTTAATTTCAATTATTTACAGATCTCTAAGTCTATTTAATTAAGAAATGTCAAAGTTTAAAAAAAACATATTGTGAAATATTGTATACAAACAATAAAATATGTCTGGCCGATCCTAACCAATTCAAGTACACTACTATTAAGCACATTGAAGGGCAACAGCAATCTGATATTATACTTATTGTTGAAAAACGATAAGCGGTACTTCAAGGGAGTCTAATTTGTATGTACAATGTTGGAAATAATAGAGAACAATAACACATCGTTGTAGCATATGTCAAATGAACGGGGAGGTTAATTTTTTTTTTTCAAAAGACTATATTTTGTTTATTCAAGTTTTCTTCGTCATCTCTGCTTTACAGCTGGTGACCGGACATAAGTGACAGTGCTGAGTACATTTTTTATATCAAACACATATTTTTTGAAAGGTTAAGGCCTTTTGAACTGCCATAGAAATACAGACAATAGTAACAATTTCCTGTGGGAGTTAGTTATTACATAGCTTAATTTTTAAACATTACGTCGAAAATTTTTTAATAAAAATATTTTTTGAAAAGAGATAAACATAAGCAAATTATATTATGTTATTTAAATTAAATTTAGTCTAATGTACAAATGAATAGTAATGTTATAGTTACACCATAATATCAAAAAAATTGATCTAACGCAATTAGGATTTTTTAAAACACAGGAAAAATCAAGAATTTACGAAAAAAAGAATGATGTATTACAATTTTTCAAAAGCAATATTTGATTTTTTTTTTAAATGATTTAAAAATATTTCCATTAAAACATTCATATAATATTATTACTCAATAAATAAATAAATATATAGATACGGTTAAAAAATGTTAAAACTCTTAATTATATTCATAAAAATATGTGTAAATAAAAGAGTGTTTAATAATTAAAAATATATACATATAAACATATATATGTATACAGGTTTTGAATTTTCCTTCACGATTTTTTGAAAATTTCGTTGAAATTTTTGTTTTTAATAATTATTGTCTTCTTGCACTTTGATTAAATCATATTTGTTATTATTTATCACTAATGAGAAAACATTTTTATTTTATTTATTTTTTAAACTTTTGACATTTTTTAGCCTATGTATTGCTCACCATTTGTATGGTAACAATTTTTGATCTATTCATTGAATTACAAGTATGTTAATACATAGTATGTGGACGTAACGCGACTGGTTCAACCTGCACTGGTGTACTTATACTACGCCCGCGTTTCATACTCACTGATTATATTAAAATACTTTTCCTATAATCGAACAATCAAAAATTTTTATAGGAAGAAGGGCAAAAAGTGACTATTTCAAAAATAGGAATAAAATTTTTATTTTTTACTTATTAGTGATAAATAATACTTTAAATGAAAAAAAAAATTAAATATTATAAAAAAAAAATCCAACATAATAATATTTGTGTATAAATATTAATTTACTGGCATACTTGTAATTAGATTCAACAAATAAACATACTATGGGCGATTCATTTTTTAACCGTCTATTTTTGCTTGTTCTCTTCCTACCACCATTCCCATATCGTTTTGAATCTCTCTGCCCGTTTTCTTCAGGCATATGAACTGGTATTATATTGTAAAAAATAACGAAATACTCAACGCGAAGTATATTAAACACACTGATCTCTTAAAATTTAACACGAATGGAACACCAGTAATATTTTTTATCATCCTTAGATATAATTTGTGTTTATAATTTATTAATCTTTTTAATTAAACCAATTCAACCAAGTATAATTATTCAGATTTTCTGTAAAATGAATGTTAATCAAAGTTCATTAATAGTAGTACTTTATCGTCTGAGTCATTAAATGAATAATCTAGTTTATTTAAGAATTTGTTTCAAATAGAATGTTTTAAACAAAAAAATTGTTAAATTTTTTTCTTTATTAAACGGTTATAATTTTATATTATGCAGAATTTTATGAAAATGTTTAAAAAAATTTTGTTTATTTGGTAAAAATTTAAAACCAATTAAGATTATTATTCAAATATTTAATTATTTCTTGTTCAATATTTGAATTTATTTACAGCACATAAAATTCATAATTAGGCTAAAGTCAATATAGGGTCGTGAAGAAATAATTTTCATAAATTCATATATAGTATGATCACATTTATTAAATATTAATTAGTTTATTATCTAAATTTACCCAACCAAGGTCACATTATTATATTGTTATTTTTGGAAATATAAATAATTTATATAAATTAATTTTTACAATATACATATTTATATAATTATAAAACCATATATCATTATCTAAAGCCATCTACTTCAATTAAAATTGAATTTTTTTTATCATTTAGTTAATAGATGATATAATATATCATATTATATTATAACAGCATAATATTTTTTTTATTCATTGGCAAATTTTATCAATATATAGAAAGAATATATACTCTAACTATATTTCCTTTAGAAAATTATTCTTAATATTTTTCTAGTCAATAATTAGATTGAATAATTATAATCTAACAAAATTATTAACGTAATACTACAACGAAAAATCACCTTCAATAATCGACCCAGCATTGTTAAAATAAACATAATAATTAAATTAGTGATATAATACTTACATAATTTCAATTCAATAAAATGTGAGTTGTTCAATAATTTAAAATACGCTTTATGAAATATTAACGTTTGACGGTTTTTAATAGCTGTTGACTGTAGGAACTTTCTTCTAACAATAATGCAAGCAATGAAATGTAGTCAAATATTGCACGAGAATTGAATTGTACTTATCACAAAATTAAATATAGTTCATTGTTTGGATTTCCAATTGTTAATTGAGTGCATGGTAAGCGACAACATAGATAATACGTATAATTGAATTTTAGACGACCAACTAAAATATAAATTAGCTGTTTGAAGAAAATAATATTTAAGAATCTGGCCTAAATGAATAACGGAATTTTACTTCAAAATTAACTTGGTTTTTTGTTGTACACATTGTACATTGTAATCTTTTCATGATATATATATATAAAATATACGCTATAGACATTGGAGTGATTTTTTTACATAGTATACACTTATGTATTTTAGGATATACGCCTTATACACTTGTAAACCCTTTAAAACTCAATAGATTACTTTTAATTAGGGTTGTTGCATTTTTAACACTCATTTTTTAAAACATTGATTCAAACATAAAGCACCAAATTTTTCAATATTTATATGGGACGTTTTAAAAAGTTTACTTCGATTTTAAACAGTTATTAAAAAAAAAGACAAGTTTTTTAACAACCTCGCTATTATTGTAAAAATATTTTTTTCATCGCATTTATATGAATTATAACAAAATGATAATTAATACGTTTTTTTTAATTTTCTAGAAAAAACACGAACACGTTTAGTTAGGTAAGAATGATTAAAAGTAATTGTTTTTAATACTTTTTCTGATTAAATGAAAAATTGAGGCTATTTAAAAATTATTTTGCAGACCAGTTTTTTTACCATTAAGTATTTATTGTCAATTTTAAGTTAAGATAACATGCTTTCAAGTTATATTTTTGTTAATTTACGTGTGCTGTGATATATATTTAGATCTATAGAAATACCACCAAAGATATCACGATGTATTTTCTGGTATTTTTATTGGGCAACATGGTCTATGTTTGTTTGGTGAACTTATCCATTAGTAGTTTTCTTATGGTTTGTACAATACAGTATTTTATAATAAATTCTTTTGTTTTTTATGGTTGTACAGTTTTTTGAGGATGGTCCAAAATGAGTCCCGTTTGTCTATATTTTATGTTTCCATTAGGACTATGTCCAGACGGTTTTATGATAACTGCGAGGCATTACTCATGTTTTACGGTGCTGTAAAATTTTATAGAAAAATATGGTCACGAATTACATATCATGTTATTATGATAATCAATCATACAAAACAATAAGTAAAGTAATTGTGTGTACTATTGATTATTTCCGAGTTCCTTATTATAAAACTGTATCATCTAGTTATCTTAAAAGTTTCTTTAAACTTATAATTTTCACATAAATTACTCAAAAAGCGCAAAGATTATTCAATACGTTATTTTATTATGAATACACTATGAAAAAGTTTGCACTTTTTCATATTTGTGCATTGATTTAAAATTATCTATTACAATTTAATAATAATGTGTACAGTAAAATTACTATTTATTTTTTTGGTGACTCATAAGTGATGGAACAAATTTATTTAAAATAATCGTTTTGTTTAAAATTTACTGTACAACTTTTAAATAAATCTATACTGTTAAACCTATGTGAATAGCAATCAATTAAATGCACACAAACATCACATATTTTTTGCTTTTTTTGATTTTGATTATGAAGTTGAGGACATAAATTTTGGCTATTGGGTATAGCACAGTAGTGCGGGGTTAATACAAAGAGGCGAAGACGCCTTATGTGTTGCCCTGGCAACATTGTGCCCCCCTATTTTAGCATTGTTAGCCGTATCATCGTAATGACATTAAATCCGACCGACAGACGTCGGTAAATAAGACAAAAGCCGTCCAAAAGCCACTGCGCCAGCTGGTTATTATTAATATGGCTTAATTTCATATCGGCGGAATGGTTTGGCGGTGGAGTGGTATAGTGATAACGTAGTGGGCGAGTAAGGTGGGTGAGAAGGAGAACGAAATGGCAAAACAATTGGACAGATCAAGAGGAGTACAGTGTTCGCTCGTAGTTTTGCCTACTCAATCTGTTTAAAGGAAAATTAATCTGGCAGTAATAATTACCTCTTTTGTAATTTAAACAAATGCATACGGCCTATTTAAATAAAAAAATCAGTAAATGGAAAGTTCAACGGTCGTCCTCTCGATAGTGTATAATAATTTTATTATTACCATAATTCTCATACTCCAGAGACTTATTATATATACAACGGAAGGGTAATTGTTGTCATCGTTGTTTGCGTTTGATTTCCAAAATGCTTTTGTTCGTAAATCGACTATCCTAACTTGCTAAATGAGCCGTATAATTTTTATATCACCACAAAGGGTCTTTATTTGTGTTTAATTTCCTTTTCAATTTTAAATTAAACGTTCAACCACCGGTTAGAAAATAATGTAACTTCATATAACTTTTAAATTTTAAATACTTGATTTTCAACATATTTTATAAGTAATAAATGTTTTTAGGGGCAGATTTATTCATAATTGAGTAAATAAAATGTACCAATTTTTAATAAAATATACATAAGTGGCAGTTTATTGACTGAATAAAACTATAAATGATATATCTAAGAAAGTGTATACGGATTAAATATTTGAAATGTTTTTTACAACACTATGAACTTGGTAAGAAAAATAGTGTATTGCTTTAAAGAAAATATTAAATAAAAACATTTAGCGGTTTTACTGTCGTTAAGAATTTTAGATCGTTTAACAATTTTTATTTGCAAACGTTATTTAGTTTTTTGTATGTAAAATATAAATTATAAGAGATAACTGAAGCAATTAACGTTGTACCTTCGCCTCGCTTTCTGTATTAACTATATTTATCAGTTTAACAATATTTTAAATTAAAATGATATCTATTGCACATAAACGAAAATCTTTTAAACCATCTGAATTAAGTACGGTCCAAGTATCATAATCAATTTACCTATAGGTTCAATCTGTATGTAGTTAATAAAACGGGTCCGTATAGCCGACGATAATAACATATGTAATATAATAGCCATAATAATTCCTAAATAAGTTTACTCTGCTATCATGTTTGTACACACAAACCTAAAGAAACGATATTTATATTTTGTATAAAAGTTAGCGTTCTCAATTTCTTGTTCCATACCGTAAAATATACAAACCACGTTTGGACGGTAAGTTTTGTTTAACATTTATAATTTTACATCAAAGAGAAAAGGATTCAATGGTCGCTGTCATGCAGGGACCTTATAGTACACGGACTCGTATGTATTTTAATGGAATTAATACCGGCCATATTTTACATAGCGAGTCCATGTGGTCCATGTACGCTGTGCGATCAATAACTCCTATTTAAAGTCGTTACACCCATTATTCGTAAACGGAATTTACCAATTTAATTTTAACTTAGTTATTGTAATTATATCTCTATGTTATGGCGTATGGTAGTTAAACTATGCGCAACGCAGTGGAGGGCTGCGGTTCAGCGCAAAGAAGATAAACCGCGGGCTGTAAATTAATTGTATTGTCGCGACCCTCAAAATGTCTTAGAACGGGACCAGGTTATCTAAAATGAGATCGCGTGTAACTGCGATTGTTTACAAGCGAATTAAATTGTACATAAATTGTCATTAATAAGATTGAGGAAGGACTGAAATGGCTAGCAAACAATTCGATAACGGCCATTCTGCTACCTTTAAGAATTAATACCTATTTACTGTACTTAGATTTTATGATTTTGTACACTCTCTTAAATAATCCCAACACACTGTCGTTGAATTTTAGCATCGAAGGTGTTTCTATTATACACATGTAAGATAAGTTTCATACTGTTTTTGACAATCATAATGATTTAATATTTCAGTCATTTTTACATCTCACGTTATTTTATTTAAATTTGATCATTTTAACGGATAAAACGACAGTAGTATAAATAAGTTCAATTCTATATAATTATTCCGCTGATATTTAAAGACAGAAAAAATTACTTGTAAAAAACACAATGACATAATAAATTTATGCAAATGAAAGTATGAGTTTATATTTTTTACAGTATCCATTGCAAATTTCTTTTTCAATAAGAATGCTCAAACTAATAATGTATCTCGTACACAAGATAGCTATTTATACAACTTATTAATATGTTCAATATGAAATTATTATATAATATTTTGATGTTATTATAATTCAATATCTGTCTTCATTGAAACAAATAATATTATACACAAATATATTTAAAAAATTAGTTTAATTTTTAAGTAATTTTATGCATTTTACTTTTCATTACCAACGTGAGTATTTTATTTCTATAACTTTTGACTTTTGTAAATCCTATGAAAATATAGAAAGTAATTAAAATTTTTTTTTTTCTAAAGTAGTTTTTTAAGAGAGTCAATGTATTTTGTGTAACTAATTTAAGTAAAAAAATAGGTTACTCACTAAGTTTTGTGAATATTTTTAACCATATTCGATTAATCTCCACGGAGTCGAAAAATATTTCTGTTAGCATATAGTGGAGAATTTATTCAAGTCCTGTAAATAGGGTGCCAATTGAGATGTAAAATCAAAAACCGATTTGGAATCTTAAAAGTGAGTATCGAGTTCGAAACGAAGAAGCTTTATAGATATTTACATGTATTTGACAGTTTACTTTTGTATTTTTTTTTCCACATAAGTAGCAATAGTTCGTTTATTAATAGTAATAAACTATTTTGAAGAATATGAATTACGAGATGAATACATTCGTATATACATAATTGTAAAAAAAATGTAAAACAAAAATAATTGATCATAATAAATATAGTCAATTATTTTCGTAATTCTTTCCAATTAAACGAGTTATCTTGCGTATGGTTAATATTACGACCATAAATAGAAATACTAAAAGTAATAATTCTAAACATGAGAGTTGAAAAATAATTTCGGACCATAATAGAATTTTCTTGTGTTCGTATATTTTTAGAAAATCATTAATGCAATTTTTACTACATAAAATTTGTATCTTAATGAAATAAATTGAGAAAAAAATGATTAGTGAAAAATGTTTATAAATAGAATCATGAGCTGTTAATAAGTTTAGTAATAATATGTTTTAAA